TCCCACACACTGGTCCTTTAACTTTTTATACATGCTAAAACTATATATCCACTATCAAGAAGTCCTGTGGGTTGTCGGTGTTCACCTGTCACCAAAGTTTGCTTGAACCGAATCAAACTGGTGTGAAAGCATGCTAACTCCTCTCACCTGTCTTCTCCCAGGTTTTCCTCCTCCAGGTGCAATGCCTCTCGGCCCCCCACCTCCTTCCAAAGGTGGAGTTGAAGACCCACCTCTGGACCCAGCAGGTCTGGGCAACAGGAAAAATGATGAGGTCCTGGAGGGACCCAACATCTTCAACAACCAGATGGGACCTATGGGTCAGTCTGTCTCTCACTCCAGACTTTTTACCAAAGTGATTTTGTGGTTTCTCATGCTGCCCTTACCCACTTTAAAAAAAAATACTACTATTAGTTAGTACTATTAGTTATTAGTTAGTTAGTTAGTAGTTACCATTAGTAAACTGGATTAGATTTTTTATTATTAGATGAAGTATAGTGCTTCAACAGTCACTTGATGGGCAGGAATTTAAATGACTAGTTTGATTATGATTCATTTGTATTTATCAAGTGAAAATACAGTACCAGACATTTGTTAGTTTGTGATTCTCAAATGGTATGATCTGTCTTAAATTGAATATTATGGTGCTTTGGGACCGTAATGAAATATAATTAAAGCTGTATTTTGTGTTCGTGTCCCTCCAGGTAACCAGGTAGTCGGACCTCCAGGGACTCTCCCAGGTGGTCCTCCAGGAAACCTCCAACCCCCTTCTGGTGGTCTGCTTGGCGCACGACCCGGTATAATCCCACTTCAGCGTCCTCCAGTTCCCCCTCCACCACACATGCAGCGCTTCCCTCCGCCCCACGGGCCACGACCCCCTCATCCCAACATGCCACCCATGCCCCCGCAGATGATGCCCAGAGGGCCACACCCGCAAATAATGCACCATGACCCCGCTCCACCTAAAGGAGGCTTTGGGATTCTCCCTCCTCACAATATGAGGGCTCCTTTTCCCCCACATGGGCATGGCCCTCCTCCTCAAGGTCCTCCCCCTCCTTTTATCAGACCAGGGGGTCCTCGTGGCCTGGAAGCGCCAGAAGAAATGGACGGCAGACCATTCAGGGGAGACAGGCCTGGATTCAGGGACCGAGAGCCAGAGAGGGACAGAGACTGGGATCGAGACAGGGATAGAGAGAGGGACCGAGGTTTTGGAGGTGGAAGGCGTCCATTTGGTGATGGAGGGAGGGGTGGAGGTGGTGATAGAATGGATGGGAGGGACAGGCTCGCAGGCTGGCAGGAAGACGGTGGTGATCACCGGGGAGGAGGATGGGAGAGAGACCGAGATAGAGATCGGGACAGAGACCGCGATCGGGACAGAGACAGACGGGACTGGAGGGAGAGGCGAAGCAGCCTGGATAGCGACAGGGAACGAGGGAGGGGTGATGATGGGGAAAGGGAGCGAGGGCGGGGGGAGGGAGGAGAGAGAGAGAGAGGAAGGGGAGAAGGTGGGAGTCGAGAACGAGGAAGGGGGGCTGAAGGAAAAGAAGGGGACAGGCCAAGGCGGTCAGAACGGCGAGAGAGGACCACGCGGTGGGACAGAGATGATCGATTGGCCGAACTGGAAAACATGGACAGATTTCGGACCTCTAACAGCACAGAGCAACCTTGTTTGACTCCTGTTGTCTCTGCGGAAACAAGTAAAGAACCAAGCGTGGAAACTTCTCAAAAGAAGGCAGAATCAGAACTTTTAGACCCGCCCCCAGAAGTAACTACTGCGGAAGGAGAGCCGAAGCCCTCTGAGCCCTTACCCTCAGCTCAAAGTGAGCCCACAGAAACAGAAGAGGAAGCAGCATCGTAGACTGGCTCACTACTCCTGCAGCCACAGACTGCTGTGAACCACTGAAAGTAAAAAGAAAAAGAAAAAAAAAAAAAGAAGAAGGTGTTTTTTACTATGATAACCAGCCTCAACTGAACAACTAACTAGTCACAGTTTGTCAGTTGGTAATTAACAGTTTCTGGGCAGTAACACATTTCTTGAACATCTTCCACACATGAAAATGGTTATTTTAAGACTTTATGGCTCGTGGTCACATTTGGCTTTGCATTGGTGTGTAAACACTTACCACTTGAAAATCAGTTTGGAAAAATGACTGTAGTTAAATGTTGGCTATCAACTCTGGTTGTTCTCCTCCCTGTATGTTGTAAGAATGAATGGAGTGTTTGCATGTTAGCTAAGCCCTGTCCATCTAAGGTTAATTTGAGCTTAGCTCTTTTATGTTTATACTCAAGTTGGTTTGCAGTCGGTGGAAAAACATGATTTTTATGACACAAATTTATTTTTACGCCATGGCCTCATCCATGTGAGGCTCTCCTCAACAAGGTAAATATGGTGATTTTAAAATATATATTTTTTAATTTGCCAAAAGTTCTCTCAGTCAAACACTGAATAATAGAGGCGCAGTTTAATTTTCTTTATTGTTTTCATTTCATCTTCTGTTTAATTTTGTCTCCTCATTACAATCACAGCCAGTAAGGCTCAGCTTTGAAAGGACTATGGTTGCCTTAAAAGCCAATCAAGTTACTTGTATGTGTTTAAATGGAGAAGAGCATGTGATTTATAAATTAGTTAAAATATCCCTGAGAATTAGGCCTGGTACTCACTCACACAAAGAGTTCTCCTTTTCATTATGCCCTAACGTTTCACCCTTTGAACCATATTTTATTTCAGGCAAAACAAAAATGAGCATTGTCTTCATTCTACCAGACACTTGGTGTAGTAACTTATGAATTTCTGACATGCACATTTACTGGCCAATACCTGATGTCCTTAAAAAAATCCATTCTCAATACATGGTTTTATTTCAGTTTTAAAAAGTATATATTCCACTAGTACTGAGACATAGGACTGATTAGAAGCTGAGCTAGTTCTCACAAGGTCTCTGAGTCTAACTTGGTAGTCACATTTTACTAATAACAACATTGCACCCAGTTCCTTGTGAAAAAGTAACAGTCCTGTCATTCTGATATTCTTTAGGAAATCAAGAATGCTTCACATTCTTTGATCATACTTTATCAGTTGTCACTTTATAGAAAATCTGTTATGGAAATTGGTTAATTCTCTGTGTTTGCATATAATCATGTTGCTTGGTTGCCGACACAAACCATTGTAGGGGCTCAAAACCAAGGACCTAAACTTTAACAGTGACATAATTGAATTTGTTTTGCTGAGCGGACATTGTAAAAGATGAGCCAAGAGGCATTTTATATAAGACATTTCAACATAACATGCATAAAAGTTAAAGTTAACGAAAAAAAAGGAACGCCCAGGTGTATTGTGGTATATGTCCCTTGGAATATTTAGGACATAAAGAGATTTGATGATATTATATAAGTAATCTAGACAGAGATATTGGTATAGAAAAACATAGAGGAGTATATCCATTTGCAAAGAAATTGACCCAAAAACTGCTGAGAAGACGAGACATTTTTCACTAGCAAAGTTGATTTTCATCTTTGTTTCCATTTCGACGGTCTATTTTTCAGAATTTTACCATCTACATCATTAAAGTTATGTGGAATTAAATTCCATTGGAAATTCAAGTATGTGTATACTTAGTATTTTTTTTCTGCTGTCTAAATATCACACTCTTGCCTAAATGTGTATATTTTTATTTTTCAGTTAAAGAAATGAAATAGGACCTTTTGTAGATCCAACAGAGAAATATTCAAAACAGGTTTATTTTAGTGCCAGCTTGGATTTTTGAGCATTTTGTATAAACACAATTTAGCAAGCAGACTTGATAAGCTTTATGCTAATGGTGGTATTTTTTTTTTTGCTGTGTGTATGGAAGGAAGAGGGCAATGTCTTGGACCAGGCGAAAGAGCTTTGTCAATTGCCTCTTGTACGTCAGTCAAACTTGGATTTGAATTAATTTTGGCCACATGAAAATGTAAAATGTAACCCTATAGCTGAATTATTTTTTTTGTCTTTGATAATTTCAGCTTTCAAACTTAGTTTAACTGAGGACATACTGTATCTGAGTTAACACTGTTAATGTTTGAAGCCCAGATTCTGCAAGCCCAACTGTTCTTGAATCTTGATTTTAACAATGAGACAGCAAGGGCAGAACTAAAGTGATGAAATGAGTGTTGCTTGGGACACACTGCTGTAAATATGCTTGTATCACTGACAATTCAAAGGTGTAATGGTAATTGTTTATGATCTGTGATTCGTTTATCTGAGAAAACCAATTGACTTGGAAGGAATAACAGAGGCCCTTTGCTTTAACGTTTTTTAACTCCTGATGGTTTGAAAGTTGACAGATGTTTCTATGATTTGTTAAAAATACAAAAGACATGGACATAAAATCTTCAATATTTCAGCCATAGGAAATTGTTTTTAATAAACTATTTTTGTACCAAATGATTTTTCCGTGTTCAAATTATATTCTGTGCATAACTCATGCTGTAAACTGCCAGATGGTGAAAGATGAAGATACTCAAAATGATGTGGCACACATTTGATGCAATGGGCAGTTTAAATGCCACACAACTGTTATTCAACTAATGCTTACAGGCTGTTTCCTTCACTATCTACGGTAAAGAGTAAAACAGGTAAGGTCTTTTTTTATTAGGAAATATAGGTATAAACAAAAAACCAGTGGGACAGCAGACTTTGCAGCCCACACAGTTCTTCCCCTCAAATGTTCCTCCTCATACAAAAGCCCAGTCATGACTTCAAATTAGCTTTGTACTATAGCTGTACTGACCAGCATGTAGTTTAATCATGCTACTTCACTTATGACTGTAACAGGCCTACTGACAGTCTTGTCCCCCGGTTTAGTAACTTTTTATGCAACATTTCTTTTTATCATTCGGTTGAGTGGTTGATGAGGATACGTCCACCTGCTTAATGAGCTGCTCTCCGCCATAACGCTTAGTGACCAATCAAAATGCGTGTTCTTGATTGTACTTTACTCTGATTGGCTGTCTGTATTAAACACCCGCCCACCACTTACCGACGTAGCTTGGTTGTCTACAAGAGCACGAACGACAGAAACTTGGTCGTCCTTTGAAACTACTGCAAACATGGTGCTCAAAGCCGTCTGCGTGTTGAAAGGAACTGGGGAGACCAGCGGGGTCGTTCACTTTGAGCAGGAGGTAAGGCGTTCACAGGAAGAAATGTGTAGTTAGTGTTTGTAGGAAACTACCCGGAGATTTTTTTTTTTTTAACATGCATCCTCTGGGCTGCGTTAGCGCTAAAATGCTAAGCTGGTTAGCTAAGTTGTCCACGCAGAAGCCAGTAGTTACGTTACATTGGCTTTCAGGAGACCGAGCTAGCCAGCTAACTACACTAACAACTTATATCTCACTATTGAATGAAAATGCACCGAAGTTGGTCACGTTTTGCATAGGTTACCGAGCTTGTGGACATGAATTCTCTCAATGCAAACTACCGTCAGTCTGCACGGTGCAAAATATCCAACTAACGTTAACGTTAAGTGCGCTACAGTCAGGAACTGCTACTGACACTTCATTCAAAGTAGGCTACTCGTGTGAACACGCCGTAAATGCATAGTTAATAGGGGGAAAAAAAAACAATGGCATGTCATTAAACCGATAACCTTTGTACCTTCAAAGCTTGTAGTTTGTTAATGATCCACAGCGCGTGTATTGGAAACGCCTGTTGCATAAGTTCAATGTTTGGACGGTAACATCGTGTCTGTTGTGGTTAGCTGAAGCACTCATGTTTGTAGTCTGCCCTCTTTCTGACGAGAGCAAACGCTAGCCCACTGATTAAATTAGTTTTGCTGAGTCACTGCCCGCCCTCGTTCTTGTTGCCTTTTACCTCCAATATTTGGCCTTGTTGATAAGCTGCAGGCGGACTGGGATCCTCTGTGTCAACGAGGGTCAGAGTACATGTACACTAACAATTAAATCCATGATCATATGTCGGTGGAAATGACTGTGCATGCAGTTGTATGTTTATAACGGTATTTGCTGTAGTTTTGGACTGAAACACCCTCTGACACATTCTTCATCGTGCTACATATCAGACTGTAGCATACTATCTGCTCTTGTGTTCTCCTTCTGAGGGGGGGGGGGAACACAACATGAATCAAAAGGGAGAAATTTATATTTTTATTTTTATTTTTTTGCTTTCAAAATGGCACCCCCTACTTTTGCATCAAATTAGAGTATTGTTCCAGTGTCCCTTTACACAGACGGTGCCCTTATTTTGATACAGCCAGTCAGATCTCTCAAAAGGAGTGAAGTCAGCATTCTGTGACGGTCACACTGGACCACATAGCTGCCTGCTGCACAAGAGCCACAGCCTTTAAACATTTTTTAGACATTGGATTCCTGCTAAAGTCTCCTTATCCACCTTACAGAGAGGAACACAGGGCTTGTCCTGTGCTTCAGCTTGTTTAATGCAGGCCTCAACATTAACACTTTCCTCTGTGTCCCAAATTCTACTTTAAATCTTCCTAGTCTTAGTTTAATAATAGTTTCAGTAACTTGCATCACTTCATTGGTTCGCTTTGGTCTGCCATTGGATCTTTGCTAGTTGGTTCCTGCACTTATATCTGAATTTAAAAAAAAAAAGCCAAACAATTTCAAAATGTACAAGCTCAAACAGACTATTTACATATTTACAAGCTATAGGAAGACCCTAATTCAGAGAGCCGGAGAGAAAGTCAAACAAACGTCCGAGTTACCACACATCCTGGAAAACCTGGAAAATTAAAGACTAGTTTTCCAGTCATGGAAACACCTTAATGTATTAAGATGACCACATTTTAATTGTATTTCAGCCTGTGGGGGAAATAGAAATCAGGTGGAAATGATGCTTGTCTTGTTTTACGTTAGTTTCTCCTTCCCGCCACCTGGCTTTGACAGCTCTTTTGTGTCTCTTGTATTCTCCTGATAAATTGTGTCGTCTTGATCCGCTAGAGTGACTCAGCCCCCGTGAAGCTGACGGGAGAAATCACTGGACTTACCCCTGGTGAGCATGGGTTCCATGTCCATGCTTTTGGAGACAATACAAACGGTGAGCATCTGACAATAACTGTTAATCATGTTTCTGAAATGGCAAGAATTGCAAATGAATGTAACATTTTATTTGTATCTCTCTTTGCCAGGATGCATCAGTGCAGGTCCTCACTTCAATCCCCACAACAAGAATCACGCCGGTCCTACTGATGCTGAGAGGTGAGCCCAGTCTGAGGGGAGAGTGTTTATGAGCCATTATAATGTTCAGCCAATCATGGTGCTGGTGTGTATGGTTTACCTTTATCAGAAGCCATAGACTCAGATTTATCGCTCGCTTTAAGAAATCAGAAATTAGAATACTTTAAAAAATATTTTAAGATCATGGTTCTATGTAAAGCTCCATATTTTATCAATAACTGAAAGACCTGTATTTGTATAGCATTACCTGGCATGTATTCTCCTGGAGGTTATGACATTTGATTGAAAAGATAGTCATATTTACTCTGGGTGAGCAATGACTCAGCAAAATTTGCATAGTTTTGCATGTGGTCTGTGTTTAGTTTGATAACATTTTGAGTCACAGATCATTTGTTAGCAGGCAGAACTAACTTTGATTTGCTTTGTTAGTGCACATACAGTATGTGGGTTTTACTCTTAGGAAGGGAGCAAAAGTTTTGCTTTAAATTTTTATTTATTTTTATTAGATAGCAATTGTTAAGGTACAGACATGAATCATTGGATCCCCAACCAGAATAAAATAGATAGCTGTTACAAATGGCTTATATTACTTGAACCTGTGCTTAAGGAAAATGTTCTGCCCTTTAGGAAGGTGTATGTAGTTAAATTGTCAGCGTTGCTATCTGTAACTAACTCTCAGGAACGTTTCTGTGTGAGATAAGTTGGGTTTAATGCAAGTAACTGTTGTGTTTTTTTTTTTTTTTTGTTTGTTTTTTTTGTAAATAGGCATGTTGGTGACCTGGGAAATGTAACTGCAGGAGGAGATAACATTGCCAAGATAGACATCACGGACAAGATGCTCACCCTCACAGGCCCCTTCTCCATTATTGGAAGAACCATGGTGGTAAGAAAATGTGCCCGTTTTCCATTTCACTTCCAGCAAGCAAAGTTTGAGACGAGTAAGCCAGGTTTTTGCCTAAAGTCATCTTGGTTATTTTGGCTTTATAAGACAGGCTGCAGGTATGACAGGTATGGCTCATAGGGTGTGTATGTGTATGAGGAACAAAAACCTGTAGAGGATTGCAACTTACTGACTGGAATTGAGTATTTAGGTTATGAACTGTGATTGTTCGTTCTGTCCCATGTTTTAGATCCACGAGAAGGCCGATGACCTGGGAAAAGGAGGGAATGACGAGAGTCTAAAGACGGGCAATGCTGGTTCACGTCTGGCCTGTGGAGTCATCGGCATCACCCAGTAAACAGTCTGCCAGAACATGGAAAACTGAAGAGAAAAAACTTTTCCCCACAGCACTTAAGACCAACCTAGCTACTTGATGTGACAGTTTGTCCTTTTCAGTACTCTGGCTTTGTCTTGACGAGTCAAGAGAGTAGATGAGCCATGATTTACCCTGTGTGTTCTTCATGACAGTTGTACGTATGGGTTTATATGTCTGCCGTTTAGTTTTGGTCCCAAAGAATTGGTAACGCACAAGTCATAAACAGATGTATACAATCTGCAAAGTTAATCAATAAATTGTCATTATATCTGAATTGTGTGTGTGTGATAATTCTGTCAGTATACGGTTTTGAGTCAATACACAGTTGTAACTAATAATATTAATAGTTGCAAAACAGGTAGGCTGCTAGTTCCACTGCTATACTTCCTCATTGGCATGGCTTACAGAAGCACCCAAACTGGAGTCCCCATTGTTTGTGTTGTTAGACCTGTGGGCATGTT